CACAGCTAAAATAGCTGCTGTCCATGGGCTCCCAGCCTGCCCTCCCACCTCTCACACCTCCTCAGTTCCCACCAGGCTCAATTTTATGTCCTCTTTCTGACCATGATTGTATGGGTCCTCTCCAGCTGTTTTTCTGTTGCCTTCTCTGGTTTTAATTTAGCATGTTATATGACTTCATCTTATTTTTTTTATTAACATATCAATTTTACTTCTTTTAAATGTTTTTAGTGTTTGCCTAGATATTGCAATATGCATTTTATACCACTTTACGTATAGCACAGGTACCTTTAACAGAGTATTCCCAATTCCTCCCTCTCGTCTCTTATGACATTGCTGTTATTCATTGCTCTTACTGTATCCTGTAATGATTACTTGCTCCAATCTGAGCTGTTTGGTCTACTGCAAGGCTACTATCCTTACTTCTTTTTACTATCTTCTGGGTTAGATACACTGGATTTTGATTTTTATATCTTCCTCAATACTGGTTTACTTTTCTGTTTATCTGGAATTCATCCTAATGAATTTTCATAAGATTATAAGGTTTCTGCTGGATATTACACATTCATTAAACAAACAAACAAACAAACAAACAAAACTAAAACCATACTAGATGACTTAGAAAATTAATGTATAAAACAAATGTGATTCAGCAAAGGGTATATAATGCAGGAAAATAAATGATGCAGAAAAAAGAAATCATATAATATCATTGTATGATGACAAAACATTCTAGAAGATATGGGTAGAATATAGATATAGGTGGATAAAATGACATGCTTATGAAGAATTTAGGGAAGAATACATGCAAAATAACGTAAATGGATTATGTGTCAGGGGTGGGGACAGTGATATGGGTGTAAAGGAGGGTGAAATGTGCTAGGTAGAAAACAAGCCAGAACAGTAAAATAGTGATTGCATAAAAATGTAAGAGTATTTGTAAATTTTAATTTTAAAACTCTGCCTATCATCTATCTATCATCTATCTATCTATCTATCTATCTATCTATCTATCTATCTAGGAAATAATAACAATTTAGGAAAAACATAAAAAAATGGTTTTTCATAACGTAGAATTTCTTAGTCCTTCATTTTTGAAGTTGACCTGATTTACTCTGAGTTTTGAGACCATCATTCCTCCATGGGTGTCTTGTTTCTTAATTCTCCCTGGATGCTTTAAGCTGTTCTCTTTGGTTTCAGGAGTTGCTATTTCATAATGATTTGCCTTGGAGGTTCTTTTAAAATTCATTTGTGTAAAATATCCAACTGTGCCTTTTCAAAAAAATCATGTCCTTTTACTCTATGGTATCTCCTTAAATAATTTCCTTGATATGTTTCTCCTCTCTGTTTTCCCTATCCAGCTATCTTGACTCCAATTATATGGCTATTAGATTATCTATATTATGGCTTAGCCAATTTTCTCTCAAGTTGACTATTTTTTTTTTCATTTTAATTTCTTTATCTAATTTTGTGAGATATTTTTTTCAGTTTTATTTTACAACTATTTAAATAATTTTTTTTATTTCTGAAATCATTAAAAAATATCTACGACCACTATCTCTTTCTATGGTAGTTCTATTTTCTTAACATCATGGAGTGCAATATGGATTCTCAAATCTCTCTAAAAGTATTACTTTGGGAAAGTCTTCTACTGTTTTCTACATCACCTCTGTTTTTTCACAAGGTAAATTAAAAAAAAATTACTTTCTTTTCTTTCATTTCAATATTGGAGAATTTCCTCAAATGTGAACTTATGGTTATAGGTTCTTGTTTAAAATTAATAGGCTGCAGAAATCAATCAATGAGAGTCACTATTAAAGAATAAAGAATGAAATTATATTAACAGCTCAGTGGATACATTTTATAAAATTCCATATCTATTTGTGCTAAAAGTTATAACAAACTAGCAATAGCCAGAAACTTCCTCAGTTACACACACACACACACACACACACACACACACACACAAATGTAGAACAAAACTTATACCTGATGGTGATAATGAATGCTTTATCTCTAAGACTGGAAACAAGGCAAAGAAGTCAACTTTCACTACTTCTTTTCAACATTGACATTAAACTCCTAAAATTGGACAGCTACATGCAAAAAAATGAAACTAGACCATCAACTTACACCATACACAAAAATAAACTCGAAATGGATAAAAGACTTAAATGTGACCCGTGAATCCATAAAAATTCTAGAAGAAAATGTAGGCAACAAAATTTCGGACATCATACGGAGCAGAATTTTCTGATACATCACCTAAGGCAACAGAAATAAAGGAGAAAATGAACACATGGGACTACAAACTAAAAAGCTTCTGCACAGCAAAGGAAACAATCATCAAAATGGAAAGGCAACCCACTGTATGGGAGAACATCATTGCCAATGATGTATCAGATAAGGGGTTAATTTCCAATATATATAGAGTGCTCATACAACTCCACAAAAGGAAGACAAAGAACCCAATTAAAAAAAGGGCAGAGGAGCTGAATAGACACCTCTCCAAACAGGACATTCAAATGGCCAAAAGACATATGAAGAAATGCTCAACATCACTAATCATCAGAGAGATGCAAATTAAAACAACAATGAGGTATCACCTCACACCTGTCAGAATGGCCGCCATCAACAAATCATCAAACAACAAGTGTTGGCGAGGGTGTGGAGAAAAGGGGACTCTAATACACTGCTGGTGGGAATGCAGACTGGTGCAGCCGCTATGGACATTAAACTCCTAACCTCTGCAATAAGACATGAAAAAGAAATAAGTGTTGGAAAGCAAAAAGTCAATAGGTTGTTTGTTGTTGTTTTTGAATACAAACATGGTTAACATTTTTTAAATCAATGCTCTCTCTACACAATAGTAACAAGCAATTAAAAATGTTATTTAAAGTAGCATCAAAAAGAATAAGTCTAAGAAAAGACATGCATGACATCTAGACTGAAAACTATAATCCCTCTCAGCTAAATTTTTTTAAACCACATAAATGTTGAATCATACAATGTTAACAGATTGGAGCTCAATAATGTTATGATATAAATTCTCAGCAAACTTATCTATAAACTCGATGCAAACACAATTAATATCCAGAAGACTTTTCTTGTATAAATGGACAAATTGCTTCTAAAGATGTGTGGAAAACCAAAAGATCTAGAAAAGTCAAGGCAATCTTAATGGCACAGAAGGGAAAATCCAAATTTAAATATGTTGGATTTGAAATATTTTTACAAACTTTGTTTTTACAAACTGGGATTTACAAATTAGGCAAAGATTTCTTAGATAGCATACTAAAATCACAAAAAATAAAGAATGAATATATCGGACTTCATAAAATTAAAATTTCTCCTCATCAAAAGACAGAGTTACAAAAATGAAATACAAACCACAGATGAGGAAAAAAATCTTCACCACGCTTATTTTTTAAAAAATCTTATAACTATAATATGAAACAACTCCTACACATCTATAAGTAAAAGTCAATACAATAAAATAAATAGGCCATGGACCTGAACAAACATTTCATAAAAGAAAAAATGTAAGTTTTCAATAAGCATATGAAATTGTGCCCAACATCATTAGTCATTAAATACATACAAATTAAATCTATATGAGATACCACATCACACACTGGAATGACTAAGTTAGAAAGGTTATTTCTAGACTTTGAAAAACAGGTTAGCAGTTTCAAAAACAGTTAAACATACCCCTGTACAATGACCCAGCAATTTCACTCCTAGTTATTCACCCAAGAGAAACAAAAACACACTACAAAAAGATAGATGCAAGAACAGCAACTTTTTTCACATTAGTTCTGAACTGAAATCCACGCAAATGTCCATCATTGGGAAAATGGTAGTAGACACACATAATGGAATTCCACTGAACAATAAGAGGAACAATCTTCTAATCACCCAACAATATGGATGAGCAAAAGAAGTCAGACACATAAGCACAGATGATGAATCATTCCATAGATGAAACCCAGTAACTGGCTACAGTAACATATGGTGATAGGAAGGACATCAATGTTTGCCACAGAGAGGTTGTCTGGCTCCAGATGGCCAGGATGCAAGTCGAGGGGTAAAGGGTACATTGTCCTGCTCTTTGTTTTTCAAATAACATGTTTGTTTTCAGCACCATGTCTTCCTTTAGATCTTCACTGCCTTCAAGATTCCACGGGGCACAGTGGTTGCTTTCCTGACTGCTGAGAGCATTTCAAAAAGGAAGCTTATGAGTCTTCATGCCTTCTAGGAATGCAAAATATCTATTAAAACATTATTATCAGAACAATAGAATAATCCACTAAGAGCAGAATTACAGACTCAAGTCTACAACTGCTTTCACAGGAAATGCCAGCCATCTGAAATTCTGATGCCTAAAATCATTCATTAAATACAACAATAGCACAGACAGATATATATTAACACAAAGCAGAAATCCTAAGAACAATTATTGATATTCTTTTAAATTTCAGTTTGTGCTTCATCATAGCATTATTAAACCGCATCTTATCATTTCTGAACTAGGTTTATAATTCAGTATGGTATTTCTCTTAACTGCTGTAGATCAAAGAGGAAATACCTCATATTTTTCTTTTTGAGATTTATTTTCTCTTAATTGTTAATTAAGATGCATTTTTAAGCTTAGAGTCTTTGTTAGTCCATTGTTTCTTATTCATCTCTGGATGACCTGTTTGCTCCAACTCACTTTTATACAAATTAAAATTTTTGCATAAGAAATTCCAGCTATGTTTGAGACAAAATAACTTTACAGTGGCTTTGATCGTGACAGACTGGAATTTTTCAATATTAGGTACGTCTTTCTAATCTGCCATGTTTTGTTTTATTGTCTATTGCTTCAATGCTGTGCTGTAATCTCTACTCAGGACCACTTATTTTATATGTGTTGGTCCTTCACAGCCTATCCTTCATATATAAAATGTTACAGCATATCAAAATCTTGATGACCATTTTATCACGGTGTCCTTTCTCCCTAGGATGTCTACAGAAAACAAGAGAATCTGTGACATTGCACTCAGCCTCTTCAAAAAATATAAGGTGGAAATTTCCGATGCTATAAACACAACATTTCCTTTCCTTGAATATCTCCGTGATCATGAATTCATCACCAGTGAAATGTACAAAGTAAGTGAGGTTTACTATGTCTCAGTCTGGTAAAGAAGCCCCCCAACTAAGTTATGCTCTGATATCCTGGAACCAAACATCAGAGCACAACTAGGCAACTGAGAGTCTCCTACGGGTGGGGACCCTCTCAAGTACTGCTGTTAAATGTTCTTATGAGGTCCGAAGGGAAAGGAGAAGCAGGCATTACTGGACATAGTCCAGATCCTAACTGCAGGAACAGTACTGTGGGGTGTCCCCTGGAGTCAGGTGAATAGCCCTGGAGATAGGCTGAATCTGAAGTGGGTGTGCTACATAGAACATGCCTGGTGGAAATTACATGTTCAATATAGCATAAACCAGGTGTTAAAAGTAATTTTAATGAATATATGAATAATTTTAATGATATTGTTTAATGAAATAACAATTGACACAACATTTGATACCAATGAACATCAATTTAAATACTTAGATCTGAGAACATTAAAATCCACAGAAAATTAATGTCTTGTTAGGACAAATTTGAAAGTAGATGCTTGCTATTCTTTCTCCAACAGTTTTCAGTTTCCTTTTCTTTTGGTATTTCTGGAGTTTGGGGATTTAGGTTAATTTTAACAAAAGATATAGGTGGAGATACAGAGATGCAGGTTGTCTCTTTCCCTGTGCCCAGGCTTCTTTATGGCAAAGTTCACAGAAAATGCCAGGCCAAGCCTGTCCTGGGGAAGGGCCAAGGGTTGTCTAGTGAATAGAACAGCTGCTCATCACCCACAAAGTCTATTCCTGAAACATTTGGCCAGGCTCTGAATGGACTACATCACTTAACTTGGACTCATTTTTGTTCTTCATAATTGCTCCCTCTTCCATTCATGTAAACAAGGGTGAGGAGATCAGATTCACTAGTGGGTATTAGTTGTTCCACTTGGTAGCCATACAAATATAGAGAAACTCTAAAACTTTACATGAGAATGTACCAATGTCAGGAAATCATACTACATTAACAATAAAATCACTTTCTGTGTCTCTTTTGTAACTTGAAAGTCTTTACTTATATTTTCCCTATTCACTATTTTTCAGCACTCTCATCAGTCTCTTACGAAACGCCATGGTGTACAAGAAGTCATATATGATGTTCTCACTGAACTGGAGAAGACATTTGACCTATCCATCCTGGAAGCATTGTTCAGCAAGGTCATCATGAAGAAATACCCAGATTTATATAACATTTATAAAATCTTCAAAACAGGTAATTGGATTTATTGGCTACTTTTTGATGTCTGGGGCCGGTTTTTTCCCACAGGTATACACTGAGTTCCTCCCATGTTTACACACCATGCTGGGCAGTGGGGATGTAGCAGTTAACAAATCAGATATCGCGAGTCTCCCAAAGCTTATGACATAATGGCAATACCACTCCCACATGTAGGTTTGCTTATCTGGGCATTTAGAGTCACAGGACGAACAGAGCCACAGTGGCATGAGCTTTACTCAGAAGGACAAATGACAGCAAACAGCATTCCAACAGGGCAGTGTTAGGTGCTCCTTTTCTGTGGGACCCTTTGCAGGGGTCTTCACAGCAGGCCACCAAGTTGACTACTATGTGCCTCAAGTGACAGCTTAGCTGTGGGTGCAGGATGCACCCTGATTTAGCCACACAATGCCTAGGGGAGTCAATATATCATGTAATAACTCAGAAGTCATCAGTTTCAGGGACCCCCTGAGTGACAAGAGTCACCACCTTGGAGGAAACAAAAACAGCTTGTTGTTTCTCCCAGGCCACACGCAATTTACCACCTACAGTCACTGGTGATTTTTAACTCTGATTTCAGTGTCCGCCTACTAACACAGAAGAGAGGCCACCTTCACCAGGTTTCCAGAGTAATAAGCAAAATATATAAGTCAAGGTCAAATTTGCTCTTGAAGGAGAAATAGTTTTAACTGATTCTCCACAACAGGTGTGATCGACAATCACATACTCACCAAACCAATTGTTCTACCAGAGATGATTGTTGATACTTTACAGAACTACAGGTTTGATTGTTTAATTTTCTGAGAAAGCATGATTTTGGTCCCTTTTTTCTTTATTGATTTTATTATATTATTATTATAATTTTTCTTAACTTATTTTTGTTACAGATGTTTCCCCTTTTTTTCCCATTGACTCCTTCCTCCTCATCCTCCCCACCCCGTTCCCAGCTTTGTTGTCCATGTCCAGTTATGGGTACATGCATATAATATTTGTGGTTTATCTCTTCTCTCGCCCCCTTCCTTCGGAGGGTTGTCAGTCTGTACTCTACTTCCATGTCTCTGGGTTTACTCTGTTCCTCAGACTATTATGTTCATTGTATTCCACAAATAAGTGAGATTATATAATATTTCTCTTTCTCTGCTTGGCTTGTTTCGCTTAGGATAATACTCTCAAGGTCCCTCCATGTTGTATGAAAGGATAAGAGATCTTTCTTTCTTATAGCTGCATAGTACTCCATTGTGTACATGTACCACAGCTTTCTTATCCATTTGTCTACTGATGGACACTTGGGCTGTTTCCAGATCTTAGCTATTGTAAATAGTGCTGCTACAAACATGGGGGTACATATATTCTTTCTGATTGGTGTTTCAGGCTTCTTAGGGTATATTCCTAGAAGTGGGATCACTGGGTCAAATGGCAGATCAATTTTTAATTTTTTGAGGTAACACCATATTGTTTTCCATTGTGGCTGCACCACTCTGCATTCCCAGAGCAGTGTACTAGAGTCCCCTTTTCTCCACACCCTCACCAGTACTTGTTGTTTGATGATTTGTTGATGGCAGCCATTCTGACAGGTGTGAGGTGATACCTCATTGCTGTTTTAATTTGCATCTCTCTGATGATTAGTGATGCTGAGAATTTCTTCATATGTCTCTTAGCCATTTGTATGTCCTGTTTGGAGAGGTGTCTATTTAGTTCCTCTGCCCATTTTTTAATTGGGTTGTTTGTCTTCCTTTTGTTGAGTTGTATGAGCACTCTATATATTTTGGAAATTAACCCTTTATCTGATGTATCATTGGCAATTATGCTGTCCCATACAGTGGGTTCCCATTTTGATGGTTGTTTCTTTTGCTGTGCAGAAGCTTTTTAGTTTGATATAGTCTCATGTATTCATTTTCTCCTATGTTTCTGTTACCTTAGGTGATGTATCAGTAAAAATTCTGCTGTGTATGATGTCTGAAATTTTGTTGCCTCCATTTTCTTCAAGGATTTTTATGGATTCATGAGTCACATTTAAACCTTTTATCCATTTTGAGTTCATTCTTATGTATGGTGTTAGTTGATGGTCTAGTTTCATTTTTTTTTTTGCATGTAGCTGTTCAATTTTCCCAACACCATTTATTAAAGAGGATGTCTTGACGTCATTGTATGCTCTTGCCACCTTTGTCAAATATTAATTGAGCATAATGTCTTTGGTCAATTTCTGGGTTCTCTGTTCTGTTCCACTGGACTGTATGCCTGTTCTTGTGCTAGTACCAGGCGGTTTGGATTATAGTAGCTTTGTAGTATAACTCTATTATCTGGTATTGTGATCCCACCTATTTTGTCCTTCTTTTTCAAGATTGCTGTGGCTATTCAGGGTCTTTTTGGTTCCATATGAACTTTTGAATTATTTGTTCTAGTTCTGTGAAGTATGTTGTTGGTATTTTGATGTGGATTGCATTGAATCTATAGATTGCTTTGGTTAATATGGACATTTTAATGATGTTAATTTTTCAAATCCATAAACAAGGTATGTGCTTCCACTTTTTTACATCTTCCTCTATTTCTTTATTCAATGTCCTGTAGTTTTCTGCAAATAGGTCCTTTACTTCTTTGGTTAAGTTTATTCCTAGGTATCTTAATTTTTTTGCCAAGATGGTAAATGGGATTTTATTTTTACTTTCTGTTTCTGTGAGTTCATTGTTGGTGTTAAAGAATGCCATCTATTTTTGACATTAATTTTGTATCCTGCTACTTTGCCTAATTCGCTTATGTCTAGTAGATTATGATGGAGTCTTTTGGGGTTTCTATGAATTACATCATGTCATCTGCGAATAATGACAGTTTCACTTCCTCCTTTCCAATTTGGATTCCTTTTATTTTTTCTTCATGTCTGATTGGTGTGGCTAAGAATTCCAGTACTATATTAAATAAGAGTTGTGAAAGTGGGCACCCCTGACTTGTTTCTGTTTTCAAGGGAAATCCTTTTAGTTTTTGCCCATTGAATATGATGCTGGCTGTAGGTCTTTCATATATGGCCTTTATTATGTTGAGATATGATTCCTTTATTCCCAGATTGCTGAGGGTCTTTATCAGAAATGGGTGATGGATTTTGTCAAATGCTTTTTCAGTGTCTATTGATATGATCATGTGGTTTTATCTTTAGTTTATGTGGTGTATCACATTTATTGATTTGCAAATATTTTACCATCCTTGCAACCCTGGGATGAATTCCACTTGGTCATGGGGAATAATTTTTTTGATGTATTGCTGGATCTTATTTGCTAGTATTTTGTTAAGGATTTTGGCATCTATGCTCATCGGGGATATTGACCTATAGTTTTATTTATTTATTTTTTTTTCTGGTTTTGGAATTAGATCTATGCTGGCCTCATGAAACATGTTTGAAAGTCTTTCTTCTTTCTCTGTACCGCAGGCCGACGCTCTAACCGTTGAGCCAAACTGGCCAGGGCTGGAAGTCTTTCTTCTTGAATTCTTTGGAATGCCTTGAGGAGAATGGGTGTTAGTTCTTCTTTGAATGTTTGGTAAAACTCCCTCATGAAGCCGTCTGGGCCTGGGCTTTTGTTTGCTGGGAGAGTCTTGATTAGCTCTTCAATTTCCTTAGTTATTATTGGTCTGTTCAAGTTTTCTATCTCTCTTCGGTTCAGTTTTGGGCGACTATGTGTTTGTAGTAATTTGTTCATTTCACGTAGATTGTCGAATTTGTTGCCATATAATTGTTTTTGTATTTGTTAATGATCCTTTGTATTTCTGTGGTGTCAGTTGTTACTTCTCCTCTTTCATATCTGATTTTGTGTATTTGGGTTCTCTCTCTCTTTTTCTTGGTGAGTCTAGCTAAGGGTTCATCAATCCTGTTTATCTTTTCAAAAAACCAGCTCTTTGTTTCATTGATCCTTTGAATTGTTTTTTTTTATTTCATGTCATTTTTTTATGCTCTTATCTTTACTCTTTTCTTTCTTCTAATTGCTCTGGGGTTTTCTTTTTGTTTGCTTTGTAGTCTTTAAGTTGTGAGGTTAGATAGTCTATTAGAAATTTTTCTTGTTCCTTGAGGTAGGCCTATAGTGCTATAAACTTCCCTCTCAGAACTGCTTTTGCGGCATCCCACAGATTTTGTGTTGTTTTGTGTTCATTTTTATTGGTTTCCAAGAATTTCTTAATCTCTTCCTTGATCTCCTCATTAACCCATTTATTGTTTAATAACATGCTATTTAGCCTTCATGTGTTCAAATGTCTTTGCATGTTCTTGTTGCAATTGATTTCTAGTTTCATTCTATTGTGATTTGAGAAGATGCTTGATATGATTTCAATCTTTTTGAACTTGTAGATACTTAGTTTATACCCTAACATGTGGTCTATCTTTGAGAATGTCCCATGTGCACTTGAGAAGAATGTGAATCCTGTAATTTGGGGTGTAATTTTTTGTAGATATCTATTAAGTCCATTTGGTCTAGTGCTTTATTTATTTATTTATTTATTTATTTATTTATTTATTTATGTAAGTGTCCCTAGCAGGAACTGAACCCAGGAATCTCTGGTCTGCAGGCCAATGCTCCAACTGCTGAGCCAAACCAGCCAGGGCTAGTGCTTCATTTAGAGTCTCTGTTTCCTGGTTAATTCTTTGTCTAGAGGATCTATCCCATGATGTCAGCATGGGGTTGAAGTCCCCTGCTATGATTGTATTGCTGTCAATTTCTTCTTTGAAGTCCTACAGAAGATTTTTAATATATTTTGGTGCTCCTATATTGGGTGCATATATGTTTACCAAGGTTATATCTTCCTGTTGAAAAATTTCAATATTATGTAGTGGCCTTCTTTGTCTCTAGTTTTGGCCTTCATTTTGAAATCTATTTTTATCACATATGAGTATTACTGCCCCAGCTTATTTTTTCTTTCTATTTGCTTAGAAGATTTTTTTTCCATCCCTTCACTTTCAACCTATGTGCCTCTTTTGTTGTGAGGTGGGTCTCTGGTAAACAACATATATATGAGTCATGCTTTCTTATCCAATCAGCTACTCCGTATCTATCTATCTATCTATCTATTTATTTATTTATTTATTTATTTATTTATTTATTTATTTATTTTTAATCCTCGCCCGAGGATATTTTTGCATTTCAGATAGAGCAGGAAGGAGAGAGGGAGGAAGAGAGAGAGAGAGAAACATCTATGCAAGAGACACACATTGACTGGTTGTCACCCGCACAACCCAACCAGTGCTGGGGACAAACTGCAACCGAGGTACGTGCCCTTAGCAGGAAGCAAATCCAAGTCTCTCTGGACCACAGGCCAACGCTTTAACCACTGAGTGAAACTGGCCAGGGCCTCTGTGTCTTTTTATAAGAGCATTCAATCTGTTTACATATACGGTGATTATTGATATGCACTTATTTATTGCCATTTTTGTTAGTGTGGTTACATTTTTCTTCCTATTTCTTCTACTAACTATAGCAGACTTTTTAACATTTCTTGCAGTGCTGGTTTGGTGCTAATGTATTCCCTCATATGTTTTTGTCTGGGAAGCTCTTTACTTGACCTTTTATTTTGAATGATAGCCTTGCTGGATAGAGCAGTCTTGAATTCAGATTCTTGTTTTCATGACCTTGATTATTTCATGCCATTTTCTTCTGGCCTGTAGTGTTTTTGTTGAGAAGTCAGCTGAGAGCCTTATGGGGGTTCCTTGGTAGGTAACCTGTTGCTTATCTCTTGCTGCCTTTAGGATTCTCTCTTTGTCTTTAATTTTTGGCATTTTAATTACTATATGTCTTGGTGTCGACCTGTTTGGGTTCTTCTTACTTGTGGCTCTCTGTGCTTCTTGAATTTGAATGCCTTCTTTCTTCACCATATTAGGGAATTTTCTGTCACTATTTCTTCAAATATATTCTCTAACCCTTGCTCATTTTCTTCTTCTTTGGAGACTTCTATGATGCGAATATTGTTAATTTTCAGTTGTCCCACGGTTCTCTTCAGCTGTTTCTCTGTGTTTTTTTTTTTTGTTTTTTTTTTAATTGCTTTTTCCTTTTGGTTGATTTTTTTCTACCCTGTCTTCTAATTCACTGATTCAGTCCTCAGCTTCCTCTACTCTGCTGTTTAGTCCTTCCAATGTGTTCTTTATTTCTGCTATGTCATTTTTTATTTCTTCTTGGTGGTTTTTAATTTCCAGTTGGTTGGTTTTCAGTGTTTCTATATCTTTATTCATGGTGTTGATGTTCTTGCTCATGCTGTTTTGCTTCCTCAAGATTATGGCTCTGAACTCTAACTTAGATAACTTGCTTAACTGCATTTCGTTTATCTCATCTTTGGTAGAGGTCTCCTGTTCTTTCATTTGGGATATATTTTTTTGCTTCACCATTTTGGTTCTCAGTGGATTTTGGAGCTTTTTGAATTCTCCCTGTGGGTGTTGGTTTTCTGCTGTTTGTGGCTCCCTCTACTGGGTTTGAATGAGCATGGGAGAATCTACGTTAAACACGATTGTCAAGTCTTACCTTCCTGGGTAGACTTGCAAGCCCAGGAAAGGTTCAGTTATCCTCTAGCTTTTTGCCTGGAGGCTATTAGTATCAGTTACTTCATGAGCCTTGGGTTGTAGCACATAGCTGAATCAAAAATTCCCTCAGGTGTTCTGTGTATGAGGATTTCCAGAGGGTGGGGCAGACGCTGGTTGTTAATGAACTTCAATTTTCATTTCAATGGCCCACCTGTGTGGGGTTGAATATCCGAGGGAGGGGTTGCTGCCTCTCCCCAGAACCCTGGGAAAGAGTAAGATGGCCATCTTCCTGTGTGGCCGCAACTCAGCAAAAGCTCTGAGCGCCTCCAAATTCTGAGTGTCCACACACAGTTCCAGTCCTGTCCACCCTCCTTCTGACAGGGCCAAGGTGAATGGCTGTGGCTATTTTAGCAATCTGTCCCGGCCCTCTCTGCTGTGTAGCAAGCTTGGGATTTCAACCCTGAGGACGCTACTCAGAGTTAAGACCGCTGCTGTCCATGGGATCCCAGTCCCCCTCTCACACATCCACAATCCTACCAGGATCAATTCAGTGTCCCTGGTTATATGGTACTCGCAAGCTGCTTTTCTGTTGCTTTTTCCTGATGATTTATCTTTATTTTAGTTGTAATTTCAGTTTGGTCCTGTGAGATGGTCTGTGTAGCTTCCATTCACTCCAAAACCATTTTGGAATCTTCTTTGTTGATTTTAGAGAGAGAGGAAGAAAAATGGAAAGAGATAGAGAGAAACATCAATGAGAGGAAACATCAATTAGCCACTTCCTGCATGCCCCCCACTAGGGATTGGGCCCATAAGCTGGGCATGTACCCTAAATGGGAATTGAACTGGCACCCTCTTGGTGCATGGGTTGATGCTCAACCACTGAGTCTCAACAGCAGGGCAATTTTACACCTTTTTATTGATTCTCAGTAAAGAAGATGTCCTCCAATAATTTTTGTTTGACTTGCCTAGAAAATGTTGTATTCTATATACTTTTGGTCTCAAAAAGATCTCCAAGTAACAGAGAATTCACAAGGAAAACGACTATATGAACTGAGGATGGCAGATTATAGAGGAACAAGCATAGACCATTAAAGAGTTTGTGTGTCTGTACAATAAGGACAAATTAGATTAATCTCACAGTGAGAAGCAGACCATGCAGATTTGATTCAAAAGGGATACATATGGAAAAAAAATTTTTTTGGAAGGTCTGGCTTCTGAAGCTAAAGATTTGATATTATTTACCACACAGTAAGAAGATAGTATAGGTCTATGAGGTTTATAAGTACAGGTTTATTGCCCCAGGAAGTACCCTGCCATCAGCCCTGAGGTATAAGGGCTCACTGCTCTCCTCCCTCTCCTCCCTAGACTCCCTGAAGAGACCTACCCCAAGGATTTCGGTTTATTTCCTTCCTCCATACTCCATATGTTTACTGGGTTACCACATGCAGGGTCTTTGGGCTGGTGCCATATTCTCTCTTTGGAGCCTCCCAGGGCCCTGGTCCAGGCCTCTTGGGATGTCCTCCAGTGCCAGGACGTTCACTCCCTGCTTGCAGCTACAGGGAGTGTCCTTCCTCTCTCCTGGGATCTGGATCCCCCTGGGACATCTGTGTAGTTGCTCCCATGTCCTCTGGTTTGTCTCTTTGGGAAGCACACATCCCCCTGGCCACAAGTAGGCAAATACCTTCTCTTGTCCAACCACAAGTTTAGAGCTTTGAGATGTCTTCCTCTTATTGCATGGAAACTTCTATTGGATCTCTGTTTTTCTTCCAAGAAAATCCATCTGTTTTTCCTTATAGTTTGAACATTTCAGCAAACACATTCCAAAATAAATAATACATTATTTATGTTGATAATTGCTTCCCTTGCCAGCTGAATTTTTTACATGAGTAACATTATGTTGCCACAACCCCTTAATCCTGACATTCGAGGGGATTCCTATGGGGGAAGCACACGGGCTCCATTGTTGGGCATCCTCTTTTCTGTCCCAGGAATGAAGGGAGAACTTGCCCATCAGGACTGGGACCCACTGCGCAATGAGTGGCCCCAGGGATGGAGATTCCTAAACATGTAACTTGAGATGATGTTGTTATTCTCAGTGGAGGTCTCTAGTTGTCTTCTTTTTTCTTCAGCGATACCAGACCTAGAATTATCCCCAGAATGTGAAATGGAGCGGAGGCCTGATGTCCAACTGAGCCTTGAACAAGGTGATTGTGACCAGATAAAAACAGATTCTCATCCGCTAAGAGGAAGGGAGAAAGGGAGGTGGGGCCCCGAGTCCCGAGTGGAGTTTGGGAATCAGGGAAGAACTGTTGAGGAGCATGGAGGAGCCAGGGAGGGGTGTGTGTGATGTCTGACCAGGGACTGGTACTGGAGGAGGAGCTGTGACAAGAAACCCTTGGCCCGATAACCAAGACAGAGGAACAGGAACCCAATGTGTCTGAAACCAGATTTAAGCAGAATGCTGACCTGAGGTCATTGTGGTTTGGAGAGACCCTGTAGGAGAAGATCAGCGTGAAGCTGTGCAGAGCTGGGAACTAAGGGCTCAAGGTCAACATCACAGAGGAGATCCTGGATGATAACGGTAGAAGGACTGATTTAAGTGTGGGGGTGCTGTTCAAGAGCAGGAGTATTCAGGGAGACGGCAGTCATGTAGGTCACATGGGGAGAGAAGAGAGGAAGTGGTAAGATGTGTGGATGGGACGTGGGTATTTTGAGAGAGAGAGGAAGAAGGAGGGAAATGAAAGACGCCAGAAAGGGGTAAAGGACACAAGAACAACAGCCATATTATTAAGAGCTCACTTACTTGACATTTACTCTGGCAGGTGTGGGCTCAGGGCTCACAGCTGTCCTTGGCGGCAAGTATCACTATCTACCCATTTGCAGAACAGGAGACTGAAGGCAACAGAGACTGGGGACATATAAGCAGGATGAACCTTGGCATTCTGAACCCAAAGCCTGTGTTCTTAACCCTCTACATGCCCAGATGATCTCATGGAAAAGACAGAAACTTGAGACAAATGTAGGGAAACATATGCAGAGAAAGATCCCAGAAAGAGGATTACCAAGAGCTGGAGGAAGTGCAGGAGGATCAGAAACGGAATCCTGATGAAAAGGCCAGCGAGGCAGAGAAACAGACCTGCAGAGGGAGGTGTGGTGCAGGGAGGGGAGAAGCCAGGTAACAGTCAAGGGTAGCACTGGGGACAAACACAGGTTCCTGATGGCTGTGGTGACAAGGAAAGCCGTTGTCGGTTCCAAGTGGCTCATGAATGATCTCAGCGAGAGGGCCTGACTCAAGCCAGGAGTGCAGCTCTGTGTTGATACCTGGGGGGAGGGTGTCCTCAAGTCCTACATTATAATGATTAAAAAAGGATTGGGGAGAATGTCACACCCTATACTACAATATCTGAAATAAAGTTCTGATTTCTTCCCCCAGGAACAGTTAAAAAACCGTTGTCAAGCCTGACCTGGCTCTACCAAGATCCCTCAGATTACAACGGTGTGTTGCTGTTGACTGTTCTGTGATTGTTTGTTATTTGCATCCCATTCTGTCATGTGCTGTGGTGGGCGGGCTGCTTCCCTTCAGTACGGACTGCCCAGAATTGTCGGTTCTCTATGTAACTAATCCCCTGAGTTAAATTCCCTCTGCTCCCAAAGCTTAGAGAGCTTTGAATTTTACTGTTGGACCCTGATGGATGCAGGGGGCAGATAAAATATCTATGAATCAAAATGTGATTTAGGTACAGCCCCACCTGAAAATGAACTTGCCGAACCTCTCCGTGAAACACAACTGAAACATGAGAATGAAACACTACCTACAACCAGTGCACTAAAAACCCAACAAGCAAATGAACAATTTTTCCAAGAGTCTAAGCCCGCAGGTAAGACTGAGTGCCTGGGCTTGATGAGTGTGAAGGGGAACTGGCAGGCGGAGGTGCTCAGTGTTGTGGGTGGAGTCGCAGGGCAGACTGTGGTGAAGACTGGAATGATAACAATGAAGAAAATATAAAGAAAAACAAGACTGATATCGGAGAGGCATTCACAGGTCACAAAAATAATTAAGAAACAGAAAGAGAATAAAATAAAGTAGGTACCATAACAGAGAATGGATAAACTGAAAAATCAGGAGAGGCTGCAGGGCCAGGTCCATGGGGAGGCAGGGAGACCCTGGGACACATGCAAGGAGGAGCTCCCTCTCGGTGCCTTCTTGTGTCCTGGGCGCCTACTTTGCTTCACCCTACACCATGCTGGGCCCTGAAAACACTGATAAAAGAAAATGTAGAGAAAACAAGTATGAAAAGAGATAAATGCAGAGGGAAATGAATACCAATTAATAGAAACAGTGGGGGGAGACACAAGGAGAACTATGTTGAGAATGAGTCAAGGACAATGAATGAAGAGCTGGTAGAGAGTGAACAGTAAGGAGTTTTTTCTTCTCTGCAGTGCTCAGCATTGATGAAGATGAGCTCACCGAATCTTCCACCGGGGAACAAAGAAGTAATCCTGGTAAGGAGGTGGGAGCACAAGGCTTGGGCTGCAGGGACCTGAATGAAGAACTGGTAGAGAGTGAACAGGTAGAGAGAGAGAAGACAGATCATGGTCTGATTGTCTGATTGGCGGAGGCAGTCACTACAAAGAAGGCATAAAGGGGGGTTCCTAATACCGTTGAGCAGGTAAGGTGTCCACAAAATGAAAACAGGCCTCTCCTCAGGAAAGTAAAACCAAAAGCTAGAGTTAAGGGAGGCGTGAAGGAAGGACAGGGTTGAAAGCAGGGAAGGGTAGGGGTAGGGGAGCTTCCCCCACAGTGGAATTACAGGGAGAATGGCTTATTGATTGTAGTGGGGGTGCTCACTCCCTTAGGGGAGACAAATGAAATACTTCATTCATTACAGTTTTGTCCAGGAGCAGAACTACTCCACCATGAAAACCAAATCAATTCTTGCTCTGTACAGCGGGTGGATCTAAAGAAAAAAAAGCCACCTTCAAGTTCAGGGGCTGAATAGCAGGCCCACGCAAAGACTGATGGTGACCAGGCATCTGCCACAATAGGCAAGCTGACTGAGAGAATGTGTGATATGAATCCTGGACCCAGGCTAGGGTCTGGGCCATACCATTAGGGCCCATGGGCACAGTCCTGGTGGCCTTGATTAGAGGTAGGAAGGGTCGGAACCAGCACCTTATGCAGAGAGTTCAGCAGCAAACTGTTTCCAGTAATTGGAAAAATACACAAAAGCAGAAATGGTTGGTTGAAGTATCGATGTCAGTGAGACTATTTCTATGCAAGAGAGGGAAGAGACAGGCGTAGGAGTTAAAGAATGAGAAGAAGAATGAAGAGCCCAGATATTCATTAGAAGAGAGCAAAATAACAATACAGACAAGGAGACTTACAAAGTGATACCATCACCAGGCATATTAGTGAAAATTCCTCAAGCCAATAGAAAAGGGAGGAAGTAAAATGAGAATGAAAGAAGAGGTAGAACGAGGGTGGGGATCGGAGGCGGACCGAGGATGGAGGTAGGAGGTGGGGTGCGTGTGGGTAAGAAGGGTGCTGCAGGATGGGCAAGCTGCCCGCTGTGCATGAAATCCACCACCTCTGGGTAGGACCTGGAGCAACCTGCAGGTCACACACATCAGGCACAGACCAGGGGGACTGAGTTAACTTAGTTTCTAGGTCTTCCAAGTGCTCTTATTATGGGGTTAGCTATCCATGGGGTCCTTGGGCCCACCCTGAGACACTAAGTGGTTTTTGGCTTCTCTGCAGTGATCAGCAGTGATGAAGATGAGCCTGCCAAAGCTTCCACTGGGGAACAAAGAATGAATCCTGGTAAGGAGGTGGGGGCACAGGGCTTGGGCTGCAGAGAGCTGAATTAAGAGGTACTGCCTCCTGAGTCATCAATTCTGAGTTTGTTCTGTACCATGGATCCAGTTTACCCTGGAATCCTGTTCTCTGCATTTATTTTATTTGATTTTCTGAGATGTGCAAGGAAATTAGAAATCATTATATTTTTTGAAGAGGACCTATTAATTCATAGGTCCTATTAATCAACCCTTGCACCCATCTAGTGATTATATGGTAGAAATACACTAGCAAAGTAATGAATTTGTTTTAAAATCAATGCTTGACTATGAAGTATTGGATTTATACAGTAATTTATTTAAAGAATAGAAACCTAATGTTTATTGGAAGGTCATATTGTCATCTGATTATAGACTTTGAATCACGTCTGAAGACAATTCATCCAACTCTCTAGTGTTAGCAGAAATAAAGCCGTAGAATAGGTTTCTGAAACCCAGTGTGTTGTTTTTGACAGAGTTCTCCAGCAAGTCATGACATACAGAGTGACTTTTCAAGGGACCTTTGCAAATTAATGTCTTACTTTTTCCTTTACAACAACCCTGAGGAGTACGCAGGATGGATATTGTTGTCCTTGTTTCTGGATGAGAAAACACAATCACATAAACATTTCAAGGTCTTCCACAAAGTCTCACGGAGACAAAGGGAAAGACAAGACTAGCTTCCTGGATTCTGGGTTATTTCCTTTGTAAAACAAGAGCTCAAAATGGTTATCAGAATGTTGTTTCCTCGGTCCCCTGGGCAGCATGAGTGGTCCTAAGCTCTGCAGCTCTTTAGTGTACAGAGTGCCGATGGGTTTTCCCTGCCTACTTTCTCAGAGGCTATTGGAAACATGCCTATTTGGGAAAGTACACTAAGAAAAGACCTACAAACAAGTGAAAATGTTACTTCATCTTGACGTTAAAAAAGTATAGTATTGTAAAAACGTATTTGTTGTAATGCCTCACTACATCTATCCATGTAAAATGTAAGTTTGCTCCAGTGTTTAGAGAGTGCACATTCTGACTTGTGTCTCAGTGTAGGCAAAGGGCTCTAACCAACGGTCTTGAAATAGGTCTCTGGCTCAGACACGAGATCATTTCTCAGCCTTCAGACAGGAGGAATGGCACATGGAGGAAGTGTGAAGTGACAATAGAAGGGGTAGGAGGAGGAAGAGAGAGAAGAGTTCCTGTTTTCTGCTGCACTTGACTCTGATCACATTTTGACCAAAATTGGGTCCAGTTCATGGCAGGTCCCATTCTCTTTGTTTGGTCTGACTCTTTGGGGAACAGCAGGGAGGCAAGAGATTATTATAAAGTTGTACTTCACAGAATGAGCCCTGTTGTTTATCATGGAAAATGTAGTAGAAATACACTCCTAAACTGGAAGTATCTAGCTTACTACATCATTGAATGAATCATTAATAATAGCCACTGTAATAGAAACATTTAATAAAGCCTTGTTTTTATACAGCCATTTCCATCTCTATCACTGCCATGTTCTGTGGAACCCACGAGAGCCAAGGGTTCATTTGCTCCTAGGTAATAGTGTCCTTTTGTCACAATCTTAGCGAGGCTTCAAAAGACAACTGATTCTGCCACTAAACTGATAGGAGGAAAATGGCAAGTCGGCTATTCTTAACCTGACACAAACTGTTGACGGATGTCTGTCCTCCAGCATGTCACAGGTCGATGTGGTGTCATAAAACTTTTATATAAACTTCCTCATAAAAATTGTAAGATCTGATACCTATTCCTACCTCTGAGGACAAAGGTATTTGAGAGTATTTTTTAAAGTGCTGTTATGAAGTAAAGGAAGACCCAGGGCCAATAATGAAGTCCTCCTTCTCAATTTAGTAGAGTTTTCAGTTCCTTTAGATTCTAATGCCGCAACCCTTTAATACAGTTCCTTATGTTGTGGTGACCCCCAACCATAAAATTACTTTCGTTGGTACTTCATAACTGTGATTTTGCTACTGTTATGAATCCTGTGACCCCTGTGAAAGGGTTGTTCGACCCCCAAAGGGGTAACGACCCACAGGTTGAGAACCGCCGCTTTAGAAGAAACAATAAATCTAACACCCTTATAAAGTGAGCCTTCTGCAATATAAATCATCCTAAGATATGCAACTTTTATTTATTCATTTCTGTTTTCTTATCACCACCTGTTTTTTGTTTTTTGTTTTCTAGGTACTGTGGATCTTGGAAACAGTTTTACTTTAGCAAAGATCAAGAGAAAAAGAAGTAAGAGTGAATAAGATTTTACTTGCTTTTGATGTGAGAAATGAGTTTTTAAATGCCAGAGTTTCATCATTATTATTGATAATATCATTTATAATTTGGATCATTTCTCAAAAAAGTTTGTGTCCTAATCCCTGGAACCTATAATCTGCTATTTTACACGGCAAGTGCATTTTTCAGATTTAATTCAACTAGGAACCTTAAAATGGGGGAGATTATCCTGGATTGCCTGGGTGACCCAATATACTCCCATAGCCCTTGAACAGTGCAGAGCCTCTCTTGGCTGTGAAGAGAGGGAGCAGTGACTATGGAAGAATGGTCAGAGAGAAGCAACAGTGTTGATTGTGAAGGTGGAGGAAGGGAGCAGGGAACATGAGTGACCTTAAGAATCTCTAATTCACACAGCAGTCACCTCTTTGAGTATGATATGAGATTACAAAAGTTTGAAGTAAAATTTTCATTTCTGACCCATATTTTCTGTTGCAAAACAAGAAAAAATACATTGAGGAGAAACAAAGACAAAGATTTCAGAAATTCAGTAATGCTGAACTTATATAGGTTTAGAATCTAATCAAGATTTTCTCCTAAAACATCCCCTCTTCCTTTGGGAATTTAAATATACAATGAATTTAAGATTAATTTGAGGATTCCAAAATGGTGGCAGAGTGAATGGAAGCTACACAGACCATCTCCCAGGACCAAACTGGAATTACAACTAAAATAAATACAAATCATCAGGAAAATCAACAGAAAAGCAGCTGGAGAAGACCCATATAACCATGGACAGGAAAAGAGGACACTGAATCGAGCCTGGTAGGTCTGCTGAGGTGTGAGAGGGTGGGCTGGGAGCCCACGGACAACAGCTGTTTTAGCTGTGAGCAGCTCCTTCAAGGTTAAAATCCCAAGCCAGCTTCAGAGTGCAGAGGGATGGGAGAGCACTAAATTAGCTACAACCACTCACCTTGGGCTCCAGCAGAGGGAGGGCACACTGGACTTGAACTCTGTGGGGACACTCAGGATTTGGAGAGTTTTTGATGAGTAAGGGCCACACAGAACGGTGCCCATCTTGCTTCTTCCTGGAGCTCTGGGGAGAAGCAGCAGCCCCTTCCACAGAGATTTAACCCTACCCAGCTGAGCCAGAGAAATGCAAATTGAGGCTCATTAACAACCAGCATCTGCCCCACTCTCTGGAAATCCTCTTACACTGAACACCTGAGGGAGTTTTTGATTCAACTGAGGGCTGCAACCCAAGGCTCATGAAGTAACTAATACTAATAGCCTCCAGGCAAAAAGCTAAAGGATAACTGAACCTTTCCTGGGCTTGCAAATCTACCCAGAAAAGTATGACTTGACAGTGGTGTTTAGCATGGGTCCTCCCACACTCATCCAAACCCAGCAGAGGGAGCCACAAACAGCAGAACACCAACACCCACAGGGAAAATTCAGAAGACTCCAAAACCCACTGAGATAGCCAAAATGGTGAAACGAAGAAACAAATTCCAAATAAAAGAACATGAGAACTCTACCAAATACGAGATAACTAAATTTCAGTTAAGCAATGTATTAGAGGTAGAGTTCAGAGCCATGATCCTGAGGAAGCTAAACAGCATGAGTAAAAACATCAACACCATGAGTAAAGATATAGAACTATATCTATGCTCTCTCAGCAGTTAGAGCATCGGCCTGCAGTCCAGAGAGATCTGGATTTGGTTCCCGCTAAGGGCACATACTTCGGTTGCAGTTTGTCCCTGGCACTGGTTGGGTCATGCAGGTGGCAGCCACTCGATGTGTCCCTTTCACATCGATGTTTCTCTCTCTTTCTTCTTCTCTCTCCCTCCCACTCTGTCTGAACAAAAAATGGAAACATGTACTTGGGTGAGGATTAAAAAAAAGATATAGAAACATTGAAAACCAATCAAGTGGAAATGAAGAACGACATAGCAGAAATTAAGAACACATTGGAAGGACTAACCAGCAGAGTAGAGGAAGCTGAGGACCGGATCAGTGAATTAGAAGACAGGAAACCAAAAAGAAAACTAATCAGAAAACCAAAAGAAAAAAACAATTAAAAAACAGGAAGACAACTAAAGAGAAGTATGGGACAATTGGAAACATAACAACATTTGCATCATAGGAGTTCCAGAAGAAGAAGGAAAGAGCAAGAGTTAGAGAATATATTTGAAGAAATAGTGACAGAAAACTTCCATAAGTTGGTAAAGGAAGAAGGCATTTAAGTTCAAGAAGCACAGAGAGCCTCAAGTAAGAAGAACCCAAACAGGCCCACACCAAGACACACAGTAATTAAAATGCCAAAAATTAAAGAGAGAATCCTAAAGGCAGGAAGCGATAAGCAACCGGTTACCTACAAAGAAACCCCTATAAGTTTATATGGAACCAAAAAAGACCCCAATAGCCACAGCAATCTTGAAAAAGAAGAACAAAGTAGGAGGGATCACATTACCAGATATCAAGTTATACTACAAAGCCACTGTAATCAAAACATTGAAGTCTTTTATCCATTTTGAGTTTATACTTGTATATGGTATAAGTTGGTGGTCTAGCTTCAATTTTCTGCATGTAACTGTCCAATTTTTTTGACACCATTTATTAAAGAGGTTGTCTTTACTCCATTGTATGCTATTGTCACCTTTTCAAATATTAATTGAGTATATTGTCTTGGGTCAATTTTCAGGTTCTTTGTTTTGTTCCATTGATCTATATGCCAGTTCTTGTACCAGCACCAGCTGTTTGATTACAATGGCTTTGTAGTATAATGATATCTGGTATTGTGATCCCTCCTACTTTGTTCTTTTTCAAGTTTGCTGTGGCTATTTGGGGTCGTTTTTGGTTCCATATACACTTTTGGAGTACTTGTTCTTGTTCTGTGAAATATGTTGTTGATATTTTAATATTGCATTGAATCTATAGATTGCTTTGGGTAGTATGGACATTTTAATTATGTTAATTCTTCCAATCCCTGAACAAGGTATATGCCTCTACTTTTTTATATCTTCTTTTATTTCTTCTTTCAGTGTCCTGTAGTTTTCTGCAAATAGGTCCTTTACTTCTTTGGTTAAGTTTATTTCTAGGTATCTTGATAGTTTTTTTGCTGTAATGGTAAATGGGATTTTTTTTTTTAGTTTCTCTTTTTCTGTGAGCTCATTATTGGTGTATAAGAATGTCATCAATTTTTTGACATTAATTTTGTATCCTGCTACTTTGCCAAATTTGTTTATTAAATCTAGTAGATTTTTGATGGAGTCTTTAGGGTTTTCTATGTATAATATCATGTCATCTGCAAATAATGACAGTTTTACTTCCTCCTTTCTGATATGGATCCCTTTTATTTTTTCTTAATGTCTGATTGCTGTGGCTAAGACTTTCTGTATTATTTTAAATAAGAGTGGTGAAAGTGGGCATCCCTGTCTTGTTCCTGTTCTTAAGAGAAATGCTTTTATTTTTTGCTCATTGAGTATGATGTTGGCTGTAGGTCTTTCATATATGGCCTTTATTATGTTGAGATATGATCCCTCTATTGTTACATTACTGAGCATTTTTATCAGAAATGGGTGCTAGATTTTGTCGAATTGCTTTGTCAACATCTATTGATATGATCATGTGGTTTTTATCTTTCATTTTGTTTATGTGGTGTATCACTTTATTGATTTGAAAATATTGTACCAGCCTTGCATCCCTGGGTTGAATCCTACTTTGTCATGATGAATAATTTTTTTAATGTATTGTTGGATCCAATTTGCTAATATTTTGTTAAGGATTTTGGCATCTATGTTCATCACAAATATTGGCCTGTAGTTTTCTTTCTTTGTAATGTCTTTATCTGGTTTTGGAATTCAAATTATGCTGGCCTCATAAAACGAGTTTGGAAGTCTTTCTTCTTGAATTTTTTTGGAATAGTTTGACAAGAATGATGTTAATTCTTTTTTGAATGTTTGGTAAAACTCTTCCATGAAGGCTTCTGGACCTGGGCTCTTGTTTGCTGGGAGATTCTTGATTACATCTTTAATTTTCATAGTTGTTATTGGTCTGTTCAAGTTTTCTATCTCTTCCTGGTTCAGTTTTGAGAGACTATGTGTTGCTAGAAATTTGTCCATTTTACTTAAATTATCCAATTTGTTGGAGTATAATTGTTCATAGTATTTGTTGACAATCCGTTATATTTCTTTGGTGTCAGTTGTTATTTCTCCTCTTTCAGTTCTGATTTTGTTTATTTGGGTTCTCTCTCTTGGCCAACATTACTTGTTGTTGTTGCTGGTGCCTTTGGCAGACTAAGTACAAAACAAAACATATAATAATGATTAATAAAAACATCCCAAGTATTGATCCAAATAATCCCTTAATATGTCCAACAGGATTTAAATTTAATAAACCTTCCATTATACCCTGCAACACATCTTCATTATGATAAGTTTCTGTTTTTTAAAAGTGCTATGAATTTTGGTTTGTAAGGCCATTATGTGTTTAGTTAAATTATCATGATTTAACAAATGTTTTTTAACACATTCCCATGGAAACTCAGTTGCATTATAAGGTACAGAAGTAATACAAAAAGAAGATTGACTCCAATCACATTTTAAAGTTACATGATTTTTTAAAACTCTGTAGTTGATCACCTAGCAAAATTACAGCTTGATTTAAGTCAGCTATTTCAGATTGCATTTCAGTATCAATTTGTTTTTGAGTCACCCAAAGTTGTTCTGAAGAGTTATGCCATTCTCGCACATAGTCAGCCGTCTGAATTTTATTATGTAATGCAATCCATGCCATTGCTGTGGTAGCTGTGATGGCTATACGTCCTAGTATGGCAGCAGTCAGAAGTCCAACAAATCTACTTCTTCTCAAGAGTCTCCTGGCAACATGCCAAAGCTTTCCCGTCGTGGGGCTATCTTGCCACCGTCTATCAAGGGAGACAGGAATCCACAACCCTGTCCATGCTCTTAGGAAGTAAAAACTTTCATTCGCCTGTAACTGTACGGTAGAGTTAA